ATATTCGATAGAACACGTTTGAATCCAAATACTTGTTGATTCATTGATTCTCTTTTGGGAAACACATAGTAAGCTAAAAAACTTGACAGCAAGTTGCCTAAACTAGCTTTCCATATAATTTGAGCACTACTATAGAACCACGAACAGATTTCTGTTCTTGTTTTGAGCATTTTTATGTTTGTTTTCATACATTTTCTGGCTATGAGTGGTAAAGATATTAACTCAATTAAACAGTATGGAGTTACGGTCTTGGATACATCGTGGAATTTGTTTTATAAAACTCATAGCCAGAAAATGTATGAAAACAAACATAAAAATGCTCAAAACAAGAACAGAAATCTGTTCGTGGTTCTATAGTAGTGCTCAAATTATATGGAAGGCTAGTTTAGGATAAACGAGACAGTAAAACGATACATGATTTGTTCTGAAAATTGTAGTTTAAGTTGTATTATGGTATGAGGACCTAAAGAAATTATATAAATAATATCATGTGCCAAGAACATAGTACACTCCTTAACTGTTCGAAAATGTCAATTTATCCTTTACCACCCGTTGAATGGGTAAATATCCAAGAGCCCAAGATAGTAAGTAATCAGTAGCATAATATAACCTCCGAAGGTAGTTTATAATTTTCATTGTGTTTTAGAATATCAATGGCGTTGTCGTTCGAAGGGTTGTAAATTAACTCGATCTATTCGTGACGGCACGTTCTTTTCCAATTCAAAGTTAACAATACAGCAGATACTGGATTCAATTTATTATTGTTCACAAGGTGATGATACCCATGAACATCTTCGTCGTCATTGTAATTTCTCGAGTGAGTCCACTATAGTTGATTGGAAAAAATTTCCTTCGTGATATCTGCTCTGAATTTTTTTTAAGGTACCCGGCCGAAATTGGTGGTGTCGGACATGTGGTGGAAATCGATGAAAGCGCGTGGACGAAACGGAAATACAATCTTGGGCGGGTGGTACAAAACCAGTGGATATTTGGTGGGATTGATAAAGACACCAGGGAATGTTTTGCCGTCACTGTAGATCGTCGTGATGCTGGTACACTGTTGCCCATTATACAACAGTATGTCAAACCGGGTACGTCAACTACATTTACATTTCTGCTCAATAACACTTAGTATAATTTTAGGTACGAGGATTTACAGTGATCAGTGAAGAGCATATAGCTCATTAAATACAAATGTTAACCAATATGAACATTATACAGTCAACCATTCATTAAATTTTGTGGATCCAGAAACAGCGGTGCACACACAAAATGTGGAAAATATGTGGATGTGTGCGAAAAGAAAAAAGAAGAGTATGATGGGTATGTCAGTGACACTCCTACTTACGTATCTTACGGAATTCATGTGGCGACGAAAATTTGGGGACCGGCCTTTTGAAAATCTGGTGAAACAAATTAAAGAACTGTATACGACTGAAGTAAGTTAAAATTTTGTACTTTTGTTTTGGTGTATCTTTCTATGTTTCTTATTGTTTTTCTTCCTTTATGTTTTCTATTGTTTTTCTTCGTTTTTCCTTCGTTTTTCTATTGTTTTTCTTCGTTTTTTATGACGTTCGTTTTATGTCTCTGTTCGTCTTTTGTACATAGCAAATGCTCTTTGTTATTTATTATTTAATTCGTTTACTAGTTGTAATTAATTGGAATCTGTCAGTGTTATCTATTATAGCTTTCTATAACTAGAGTCATGTATTACTTGCGTTCTTAATTCCTTCTTTTGTTTATCCAATGATATATATATTTCAACAAATAGTTTTTTTTCTTGTTCTGTTATATAGCTAATATAATCAGTCGCTAGATAGGGGTGTGATTGTCGTGTAGAAGTACCCGAATATGAGTATGAGAGCTGCCCTTAGGGCTCCGAAGACCCGTTTTTCTGGAAAGCCAGTTTCTCAGTAACTGTGAAGGACGCCCAAGGCTTTTTTTAATAAGCCATGCTTGTAGCCCGCACATTTCTGATTAAAATGAGACCTCTTCCAACTCTACATGGCCTTTCTTTGCAAAGTTATAGAATTTACACGAAGAGCCCTAAATTAATTTCTTATTTCTGAAGCTTCGAGTTGACACTGAATATTTAGGGCTTTTCTTGTAAATTCTATAACTTCTATATAATTAAAATGGGTGATAGAATACTAAAACTCAAACGATGGTTAAACAAAGACTATAAAATTGAAGATAGTTTAAGTAACTATTCAATGTTATAAAATCTTATTCTTCAAAGAAATTAGGGCGTAGTTTGCTATGAGCGTTTTCTTTTAAATTTTCACATAACCATTTGCACAGTTTTTGAATGTTCTAGTTGTGTCCGATCAGATAACTGTATATTTTAATCATACTGTTTCAAATGAACGAATTGAACATATCTTTAAGCAATTTGGTCGAATTAAAGCGATTTGTTATAATGAGAAATTGTTGACAGCTGATGTTACGTTTGCTTATTATGATTCAGTGGATCGCGTATTATTATGCTTGCCACTCGATCCATTTCATGTGAAACATACCGAAAAAAAAATTGATTTATATCCAAAGATGAGCAACGATATATAGATTTAAGAATCGCTATTCGATATGCGAAGGAGACAAGACGTATAAAGAGAAGAAGAACATGAACATACGTGTAACTTATGTGTTATTTTTTTTGTTTGTTTTCATGAAATATTGGTCTCATAATTTCTTGCTTGATAACAACTTTGTTGGCTATTTAATCGAGAATGTGCCTATATATACCTTTCAGAACAAAAAAAATTGAGATACAGTTGAACATTCTTTTTAGTATGTACTATTTTTCAAGAAGTTCTATATGTCGCCTGACTTGCAGTATAAAGGAAACTGTGTGGGGGATTGTAAAGGTTTGTATAACCAAGAACGAGTGGCTGACTCGAAAGAGAAAACACAATATGGAATTAGAAAATTTTTTTAACGAAAAAAAATAAGTTTTCTTTCGTTTCACTCAGTCCACTTTATAATTAATCTAAGCGTATGATCTATCATATAACGCTAATTGAAAGATCGAAAGCTGCTTTTTGATACGCTCATCTGTGATAGCGGCCGTACGAAATTTTAAAATTTTAAAAAGTGTAAAATTTAACTTAAAAATCAAAAACAGAAAATTTTAAAGAAAGCTCTCGCTAGGGACTTCGGAATTCGATTTTGAACAACTTTTGTATCCAGAGTTTTGCTTCGAGCGAAACTAGCCGTAAGGTGAGGTGAAAAAATCTTGGCTGAGCCAAAAACCAGCGATATTTTCAAGTTTTGAATTTTTTCTTCAAGCCTTCCCAGTTGGTAGAGGATACTTCTTTTTTGAGCACGGGGCTATTATTACAAAATTTCCAATCCATTTTCCATTTATCATAAAACATGGTTCTTGCCTAGATCGATAGAGAAATGTTTGCAGAATATTTACGACGAGAAAATATGTAAACATTTTTGTTCTTTTTTTCCTGTTATTGACTAATTAGTACTAACTAACGTTAATTTAGCCTACTCTACTAGCTTAAACTCCCATTTGTAAAATAAACTGTAGCTGAAAACAAAGATAATTACTCTAGTTAAAACTTACATAACTCATTCGCATCGTATACCAACCGCTTTGAGCAAAAACTTCGTCCGCCAATATCAGTATATTTACTATTATGCTTCATCGATCCTCTACCACACGATTAAAATAGATAAATGCAAAATCAGCAATTATACAGGTAGTGTATCAATTTGATCGCTTTGCTATTTAAATATTTAATTCTCGCCAGTTTTTAAAACAAAACCATTAACATCTCAGTAGCTAAGATACGCCTTCGTTTGGATTCTTCGATGTAGTTTAAATTTCATCGCGTCACTCAACTTTGAATATATATTCTGAAAGCCTTTAATATCAGCTCTAATATTAACTTGAAATAAATTCACGAAAATCAACTTCACTCGTAAAACTCATAAGAGGGCGCCATGAAGTGCATTTGTCTATAACTGGCTGTTAGTTCGTTGCTCCATGTCATGAGGTAGTGTACCAACATATAATAACACAAAATACGTAGTCGGGTAAAATCGCCTTTACATATGCGGTTTAGCAGTACCTCATCCTCTTCGTCAATTCGACGTCTAGGTCATCTTCAGCTTCCTTTACGACCTCGACCGATTCCATTTGGGATTCCATTTTCGGTTCCGACTTAAATAATTTAAGTTTAAATAACTTAAAACGAATTATTTCTATCGTTACTTGTTCTCTAATGATTTTTTCTTCTAAAATGCTATACTACAAAAAAGAAAAGAGAATAAACTATATTTTAACGAACATCCGTTCTTTTCTGTTACGAACATTCGGAGTGTTTTGTTGCGAACATTCAGACATTTTGTATACAAAAACACTAAAAAGCCATGGCGTGCCGTTCCATACACCCGGACGACTTTCATTCCGAACATCCGGATTTTTTTTTGGTTATCGTTACGAATATCCGATCTTCCGGACTTTTCATTCCGAACATTCGGAGTTTTTCAAGAAAACGCAAGCTCAGAACGGACTACTCTGTCGGATGTCCGTAAGAAAAAGCAAGGACGAAAAAGAACACAGCCGGGAAGGGAAAGGAGAAGTTCCGTTGTACACTTGTTGTCTAACGTTCTTTCTCGACAATGATCGAATAAAGCGACTCAAATCAGTTGCATGGAACAATGAAAAATCGTCTGCTGCACATTCAAACTTGAACATAAAGAACCACAAGTCGTCGCAGTAATAGAAGTAGCGGTTTCTCCAAGGGGAAAATAATCTCGAATGTTGCTGCACACACTTCGAAGTGTCTTTCACTTTGAGTGACACTTCTTCACTTGAAGTGACACTTGACTAGTAAGGATAGACTTCTTTGTTTTTATTCTATATAGTATTATGTTTTAGGAAGCGAAAGCGCATGCACAGACCGAGGAACTCAACGAAGCTCGTATAGCTCGTACTATTCATTAGCACAGCGCATAGATCGTCGTCAGTTTATAATTAATCGTGTAAGTTTTAAATATGTTCTTACTTGAATCTCTGATATTTTACTTCAGTATATGTATTTTCTCTTTGTAGCTGATTAATTTAGCTTCTGATACGGACGATGTTTTTGAACACATATTATTGCTATTTGTATTATTTGCCTATTTGAAAATAAATCGTGTGCTAAAAAATTTACATGGTGTACAACAATTTACTCTCAACGATCTCTTGTTTTTAGTTTAAAAATGTATTCTTGCTAGTTTTTACCAGATGCTTGCTTTAAAATATCCGATCGATTATGTGAATACATTGATGACGGTGTTTATAAACTGATTTTACATGAATTTGGCAAACATCAGTTTACGGGATGTTTCCATATATTCAAAAAAGCGGCTGTAAGTCGAATGTATATTAAATCTAACACGAAGAATAATGTACAAATAATCTTATTTTTGGTGTGATAAAGAAGCGCATTATGCTGTTTGTTCTAAATATGCAGATGAAATCAAATCATATTTAGCAGAAAATTGTAAACAACTATATAAGACGGTCAACGGCACTATAGTACGCACGTTGATAGTAGTTTGGCACTAAATTCAAGAATTTACAAAGATTGTGCTTCTAAATCACTTGAGTAACAATTATTTTATAGATAAATATGTGTTACGTACTATTTAGATTCAAGCTTTACCAGATGAAAAATTACGTAAATCATTTCAACAACTATTTGTACTCGGTTTATTCGATCTATTTGTCAATTATCGTCAAGCAAAACATTATCTCGAAGTAAGATTTCTGTTTATTGCTAAAAAATGTTAAATTAAGTCGCTATTCTTATGTAGGATCTTGTACATGTGATGTTGTAACATCAAAATGTGAATTTTAAAAGCTGTTCTGATACGTCAAGACTGTCTTATTCTTGAGCCGTTCTTATGATAATGAGAAATGAATCTGTGAGTACAAAGCTTTTCTTAATGAGCCATGCTTGTAGCCCACGCATTTCTGATTAAAATGAGACCTCTCCAACTCTACATGACCCTTCTTTGCAAAGTTATAGAATTTGCAAGAAAAGCCCTAAATATTTATTGTCAAAGCTACAGAAATAACAAGCAGTTATTTTAGGGCTTTTCTTCCAAATTCTATAACTTTGCAAAGAAAGGTCATGTAGCGTTGGGAGAGGCCTCATTTTAATCAGAAATGCGTGGGCTACAAGCATGGCTCATTAAGGGCCCCCCTCAGAAATGGTGATTTTCGGTCAAAAAATCGGTTTTGAGATACGCACATGAAAAGATAGCCTGAAGTGTCTACTTCCAGAATCTGTATGGCTTTTGGTTACAAAAGTGTTTTTTCCGGGATTTTGAGCAAGTTTTCTAAGAGCCTCGAAAAAATGGGTCTTCAAATAATGGTTTTTTCCTGGATACTTATGCAATTAAAATTTTTCT